ATTGGATGCATGTTTGGATAGATAATTGGTTAATTGGGTGGGTGGATCCATGCATGCATGGCCAGGTAGATGGATGGTTGGTTGGATAAATGGTTTGATGGTTGGATGCATGGTTGGATGGATCATTGGTTCATTGGCTGGTGGTTCAGAGTATTTGAGCAGTGTCTCTTCACTTCCTGTTTCCTGTAGATGGTGTTTGTTGGCTTCATGGTGTGTGGAGTTTTATCAGGATACGTTGCCGACAGATACGGACGCTGGAAGGTCACGGTCGAGTCTTTGTGAACGGAACGTCGACTGTCCTCTGCAGGTTTTCTCCTTTTTACCTGGTTTGTGTGTTTGTGCGTTTCTGTCCATGTAATCCAGGTGGTGGTGGGAGGCTTCGTGTGGAGCGCCTACTTCTCTCTGCTCACGTCGTTCGCTCCTTCCTACGGTTGGTTCATCTTCCTGCGCAGCATGGTAGGCTGCGGCGTGGCAGGCGTGTCCCAGGGGTCAGCTCACACATGTTACCAACCGGCTGATTTGATTGGCTGAGACATTTTTAGTAACAGGACTCGCCTGTTTCCTGTTCAGGTTTGTGCTGAAGACGGAGTTCATCCCAGCGAAACATCGCGCTTTCCTGCTGCCTCTGGCCACGGTGACTCCGTCTCTTCATGTCCCACATTTATTTTAGTATTATTATTTTATTTATCTTGTTTTAAGCACAAATGAAAGATGAAGAAACTTTTCTAATAAACATTTTCTGTGAGAGACTGAGAGTTGTGACGAGCTGTGTTTTGTCATCAGATCTTCTGGATGACCGGCTCCATACTTATCATTGTTCTGGGCATGTTGGTGGTTCCCACGTTGGGCTGGAGGTGGATGATCCGACTCTCCATCACCCCGAGCATCGTCCTCATCTTCCTCTTCAAGGTGGGACATCCTCTTCATCACCGTGTCAAACTGAACCATGTTGAGCTGCGAACGCCACCGCGGGTACTTGTACTCAGAACGAACGGTGGTGCCAGCTGTTTACTAGTTCAATGACTGAGTTTATTTTAAACTCCAAAAGTAAAACTGTGTAGAAACGAAACGAGATCACGACAGCTGAAGAAGCTGAAGCTGAGCTCTTAGAGCTAAAAGCACAACATTAGCTAAAAGTTTAAAGTAGCTCAAGTATGAATTCTAAAAACAAAACACAAAAAAAAGCTAAATGCTACCTTCAAGCTAAGTGTCAAACTAAAGTCTAACTAAAATAAATCAAAGCTAAAAATAACAAAGGATGAGCTGAAAGTAGTAAAAGAGTAGCTAAAAGCAGATAAATACTAGCTAAAAGTAGTGAATTAGAAAAGCTAAAAGTAGCATAAGGTTAGCTTCAGTCTAAATGTAGCACGAGAAGAGAAACGCAGAGCCAGCAGCTGGACCAGATTTCAGAGTTTTTTTAATCCAAGTAATGAACTCAGTTTGGAGTA